AGGTGTTACCTCCTTTGACAGTATCACAGTATCAGCTTAAAGCACTTGTTGCTGCTGAGTTTGCATCTTTTGCTGTGAAGTACAGCCAGACTTTGACCGCTTCGTTTTAATTTGTAGCTCTGCTCTAAAAGAACGTACGTACCTGGGCCCGCCTACTACGCTCGCAAAGGTAAAACGATTGGCTAGAATCTGAAGTGTATGACAGCTCAGGGGGGAAAAAAGCACAGAAATAAAGCACCGAAATGTGCGCTGCTTTTTGGTCTGGTTACTACCATTTATGCTATAATGGCACCGGATACCGGTACCCATCCCTACTCAGATGCCAGCAGAACATTTTAAAAAGTGACCTTGACCATGAAATGAACCTCAATGTAATTCAAAACTACAACAGTCTCCTCAGCTTGCTAATGCTTACAGCTTGCTGTTAAAAGACAAGCTAATGCAACATGTTAGGAAAGATGCTCTGTAGTAATTTATTTAAACGCATTGCTGGCATCGAGCTTAAACAAAGCATATACACATGTTCACCTCCTCAGCTGCTCGTTATATATACACATATGGCAAAGGTGGCTGCTGAATGAGAAAGAAAGGTGACTAAAGTGACTTTGATGTGGTTATTGGTGCCAGATGAGTCTTTCACAAGCTGGTAATCTACTTGGATTTTCAAGTTTTCAGAGCTCTATGGGTCTAAATGTCTCATTGTTGTCAGTGCTCAGACTGCTTCCAGCTGAAGATAACAGCACGTCAAATAACCTCTCACAACCAAATTATGCTTGAATGTTTCCAGCAACTTGTTGAATTTGTGCCATTAAAATTTTCAGACAGTTTTGAAGGCAACAGATGGCCTCACATTTGACTCTAGAATACTTTGGTATACAGAGGAGTTCATTGTCGACTCGATAACCACAAGGTACCCAGATCATGTGGCTACAAAACCAACTCAAACCATCACTCTTCCACTATCGCGATGACAGTTGAGGTTTGTGTGCTGATCTGCTTTGCTTAATTTTCACCAAATGTGGTGCTGTGCTCAATGGCCGAACATGTCCACTTCAGTCCAACCATCCAAAGTATGTTTTTCTGATGTCTTGTGGTTTATTCAGATGCAGTTTTACAAACCTAATCCCCGCTGCCATGTTCATTTAGAATGAAGACACTTTCATACAAACACACACACGTTCAGTGTTTTGCTAATTGAGACCAGTAGAGTCTGAGATGTAGCTCTTGGGTTTTTTGGAATTTCACGTCTGACTGGAGTGAATTTGTTCAGGTGGAAGACACCTGAATGCTCCAGACCGACACACCGTCAAAACCTCTGATTTTAAAGAGGGGCTCACATTTGCTGCTGATTGATTAATTAGTGCATTTGGCAAAAGGAGATTCAACCCGATATTAGCGAGCAACAAATTAAGTTGCTAGTGAGTGTAGGGTTTGTCCCAGATCTTTCAGAATAAGGGTTTTTCGTTTAAGTCCGTTTGAGGTTGTATTTGAGTTTCATTTCTGGTGGATCGCTAATCTAATGTTGTCATTTTCTTTTGATTTCTTCCAGGAATGTGGTTTTTTGAAAAAGGTAAGAAGTCTAAAACAAAGTGCTTCCTAAACAAATCTGAAGCTGAAATGTAAACATTTAGTTTTCATTTGTTTAATTTTATTTGTACGATTTGCTTTGTCAGTTACTCTCTATTTTAAAATGGTGAATTAGTTGTGAATACTATCTGATATTTTCGGTCAGTTTAAGAATACATCACATGTGATTCATCTTTAGACTGGAGCGTTAGTTTTACAAACACGTGCCCGTGGTGGATCTTAGTAACACGAACAACACGGAGACGTGCAAACAGTTTGTGTTGTACATAAATGATCTCAGAACGTGACTGAAGGAGCATTTCTCTTCAGTTTCAGCTCTAATGTTGAAACCATCACAGCTGAAGCTTTAACAGAACTGACTGGCTTCAAGAAATGCTGCAGCGTTTTAGTGAACGTGGATGTATTTTAGTTCAAAATCAGATTCTCTGATCAGGCAGTGAAATGCAGCATAATAACAGCATCGTAAAGAAAATATTGTCCTTTTTATGATATAAATATCAAAGTGTTGGCAGCTCAGTGATGACTACGAACAATAAAACAAAAACTGGTGTCTTTAACTGTCCTTTGCTGTAATTCTCTCTGCAGAGTCCATGCCGTGGGAAGGAGGTCAGTAACAAATCAATTATAGCCCTTCTTTTTTTTTAAATCGGTGTCTATTAGAAAGTAGAACTCAGAAACACCCGTGGTTCTTCTGTGTGCTGTTTCTTGTTAATGTCATTGTTCTTTATGTTTTGTTTTTGGGGTTTTTCATCCACTTCAGATTTCTGGAGGAGTGATGAACGTCACAGTAAGTTTCAGCCCCAAATTGTATTTTTTCTGTTCACAGTGGGGCTTTGTGTGGGATTAAAAAGCTGATGTGTATATTTCTGTCATTAAAATAACAGGAGCTCCTGCAGCTAACGGCACCACTGCTCAACAACGAAACGATGAACAAACTGAAGGTAAAACTGTCTCAAACTACTTAAACAGCAGTAAATCGCTCTGGGTTTAGAGTTTATAAAGGATGTGTTTAGCATATCTCCAGCTCTGTGGTTTGATCTTGGACTCTGTGGAAGCTGCTTCGACTGACTCACAGCTTTAAAAATACTTATTCATCATATACTGTCCCTCAGTTCATTTCCTTTCTCACTTCCTTTTCTGCTCCATGTGAGCCACCTTTCATCTTTTCGTCCTCCTCTCACAAATGTATGGTTTAGTCACATGATACAGAGCTGAGAGTTGCGGGCACCTGAATCGGCGTTTAATTTAAAACTTTGGCCATATTTATAAGGCCTTCAGGTTTTTAACAGCTGTGTGTAACTTTTTTCTTCTTTGTCTTCTTTTTGAAATCTGTCAGAGGAGACGCCAATGACCAACGGCTAAACATCAAGTAAGGACGGGTCAGGCGGAAACTGAGATGATCTGAAAGATCCAAACAGAAACTGAAAATGTTTAAGAATGTCAAGAAGTGCAGACGTACAATGGACGTTCACCGGGGTGTGCTCCAAACCACACAGCAGTAAAACGAGTTTTACTTGGTTGTTTTAATTTGTCTAGAGACTTGAAATGAATGAATCATGTAATATTTTGAAGTCATTTCCATCAGAAGAAGACTCCGCTTTGTTCTTCGTGTGCCCTGCATTGTTACTGTGAACACATTTAAAGCGGACAGGAAGTGCTACATGTATAAAGGCTGATTTACAGCATCGAGTCCTACTCTTAAAAAATGGCTATGAAGCTGGATTTAATAATAATATGTGTATAAGGTTTTTAGTGCCATCTTGTGCCAGTATGGAAAGTGATGTGATGTGGTTGGTTGGTGCTAATAGACTTACATTAGTTTATGTTGCTAACTAGTGACAGCTGCAGTGAGTTTTATGTTAAAGTACCAAGGATGTATTGTCCCCTTTCACTCTGTCTCTTCAGCACAAAGTGGTCGTTCATTATTGGCTAGCTGCACTGAAATATGGGAATCCACCAGTTAGCCGTATTGTTCGGGTTTGTAGAGCACTTTATAAATGAGCAGAGCTTGTTGGAGTTAGGTGGACTAGTGATTTACAAGGACGAGAAGCTTCAGTCTGACACTGTCCCCATTGTCTTTGATTTTTCCTCCTTTGGTTGGATGCAGACACACGGCACACAATCAGCTGGCAGAGCAGATGTTCAGAGGATGTGATCAGCGTTGTTTTATGCAGTAAAACAGTCTCTTTCCTCAAACACACCCAACCAGTTTCCAACATAAGTTACTACATGCCCATCTCAAACACATCAGGAATCCTGAGATTCTGCAGGGGGAACAGAGTGATGTGTAGAACAGGAACATCAGAGGGAAAGTTGCTGCACTCTTTGTAGTGAGTGAGATGATGATGTCAGTGCATTACTTCATACTAGAAGTGGGGAAAATCAAAACCCTAGTATAAGTGAAGGAGAGCGTTCCTCTGTGGACATGCTGATGGACGTCAGGATTTCCATGTGCATTGGTAAGAAAAATAGTTATATTTGTAACTGTTGTTGTAAAACAGTTCTGTCACTCGGTAGTTCACATATACTAAAGCCATTTTCCAGTTACCTCAGCAATCTTGCATTCCAGTAGGAAATTTGGGAAAACCAGAGAAACCGGGTTCATTTTGATTCTTAGCAGGATGCAACCATTCGGGGGGGGGGTGCTTAAGAACGCAGCTGTGGCCCCTTCGTGCATAGAGCCTGTTCAGTGCTGTGAGTATGATTATAGGATTCATCTGTGAATTCACAGCAGTGGCAGTCCAGATTATAAGTTTTACGTTTTTACTGCGGTTTACATTCACTTCCGCCATCTTGGATTGTTAAGTCACAGTTGGTGGGCTGATCTGACGTTTCAGGATGACAGTTTAGAGTAGGGCTCCACAGTGTAAATCAGCCTTTATAAATGTAGTGTTTATGTTCACTTTAATCCGATGTTTAATCTGACATGAAAGTATTGTTTTGTTTTCTGTCCTGCTTAAAGCTGCTGAAGTATTTTAATTACTAGCTTTTACTATTAAAAGCACTACAGATGTAGTTAGATGTAAAAAGGTAACTTGAATGAGATGTGACAGGAGTCAAGCTTAAAGCAGATCTCCAAGATTTTCCATAGAGGCAAAAAATTTTAAACAATAGCAGGAAACTCAGCAAAGTACCATTTCCTGTGATTGACTGCATACCTGACACCGAATGGCACGTCGACCACGTTAAAGAGGTACGCTGGGGGATGATTTATAATAAGAGCCAGGTGTGGTGCAGCCTCGCAGTGTGGAGGGGAGGATGTTAAACTGGCAGCTTCTGGCGGCAAAAGGGACGCCATTGTTTGGTTTGGGCCGCAGGGTCAAACAACAGTCAATGCTTTGTACAGTTAATGCATATGTGTGCGCTTCAGGGAAAATTGAAGCTTGGACAAAGTTGCAGGTTTTTTATTTACGTATCTTATTATTTCTATTAATTCATCTTCGAACATAGATCTTATTTGGCTTGTCTTCTGTTACAGTGCATTATTTTTGTTACAGTTTTTTTGTCTCATTCCAACCTACTGTGTGTGCAGAGGATGTTCTGTAGCTGTAGCGTTAGACTTTTGTCTGGCAAAAGTAGCGAGCTGAAAGTCAGGTATGAGCTGCAGTGCTGCTGCCATCGGTCTTCTGCAATCTCCAGATACACTAAAGTTTCCACATTGCTTCATACAACAAGCACTAATATTTGTTTTTATTCCCTTGGGTTTGTATTTATTGTGGTTCAATGTCTGAGGACTCAAATAATGTAAATATATATGTTGTTTTTATGAACTATGTTTAATAAAACCTACAAAAATGCAGGTTGCAGTGTTTACATGTATGCATCACTCTGTACACTTCTGGCAGTTCTGATCATTTCCTCTATACCATGCAAGAAATGAATCTCTGAATCCAAAAGGTGATGTGGTTAGTTTATGTTCTTCACAGCATCAAAGTGATTGTGATTCAGGGAGTTTTTTGTCTTTGATGTTCATTTGTGAAATGCGCAGATGCCTCCATCTTCCAGTGGTTAGGAATGTCTCCGAAAATTGTTCTAAGCACAACCTGTTTATGCAAAACATTTATACATTTTGTTTTTTTACTAATCATTCCTTCAGACAAAAAGAAGAGAACTGAGTTCAGTGAGTTGATTGTTTTGGGTCGACCCAGGTCTGGATGTTTGGGACATAATAGAACTAGTCACTTGTTCTTCTTGTGGCGGTAATCCCAGAACAAGATGGTGGACGGTCCCTGGGGTGGATATTTGTTCCTTAAGGCTCTGAATGTTGTAGGGTGTGCTAGTTGACGTATCTGTGCAACGTTGTGAGGAGCTCCGGGCCGGTGTCCCTTAACTTGCAGGCTGGATCGGCGTTTCCTGGTTTGAAAGGGGGACCAGAGGGTATTCTAGAAATATTGGGGAAAGTCTGCCAGAGAGGAGAGCCCACCCGAATCTTAGACACAGGAGCAACAATGCGGTTTTCAACACTGGATCTCTTTATCCCTGCAAGGATATTCCAGAGTGCATGGGAGTTTGCACAAGCAGTCTACTTGTTTTGAGAAGACCATAATCAGAAAAGGCCTATTCTGTACAGTTTGGTTGGGTTTTTTGTACAGAACAGGCGTGTCCCGGTGGTGGATGGTTTCCACTTTGGTGGCCTTAGGATTTTATCTTTGCCTTTTGCAGTGTTTGTTGGCTTCATCGAGTGGTGGGCTCCTACTTGCACTGAAGCAGTGCACTGTTCGCCAATGTGAAGCGGGGGAATGAAAGGACATCCAAGGCCAAGACCATGATTCTCAGCCAGAAAAGGTTGACGTACCCAGTCCGGGTCCAGGACAAGTCACTACCCCAGATGGTGTAGTTCAAGTATTTTGGGGTCTTTTTCACAAATATGGGGAGAGTGGAGCATGAGATTGACAAATGGATTGGGGCAGCATCAATGATGTGGAAAGTGTACATTCCTTTCAAAGCATTCGTTTCAAACTCCTTGATGCTGCACGTCATCAACTCTGAAAAACCACTTACTGCTGCTGTCATCTTTTACAGCATCTGAAGGGGTCTCACAATGTCCACAGTACTGTGCGGTGTTTTCTGTTAATCTCATCATTCTTTATGGGAGTTTTTCCACCGGAGTACGTTTCAGCCACGTTGGGATTCTTACTTTTTTTCCCTGTTTTTTTTCATGGTATTAAAAAGCTGTCATTGAAACAACAGGAGAAGCTTGTGGGGATAACGGCGCCTCTGCTCGTCAAAAGCATAAAAAGGCTCAAGGTGAGACGCTTTCAAACTAGTTAAGCTTCTGTCCACTGACAGCAGTAAATCTGAGAGCAAATGTTAACAAGGACATACAGCATTAAGCCTATTTCCAGCTGTCTTTTTAAAAACTTTTAACAGTAGAAGTATTTTTGATTGTACAGTTAAAAAAAAATCATTTTTTATCATATAAATATTTTACCGCTGTTAAACTATTTATAAATAATGTACATGTTACAGAAAATTGCTGTTCTGCAAGAGGAGACAATTATCATATCATATATCAGCCAGGTGGGAACTGAGATGACCTGAAAGATTTCTAAAATTAGATTCAGAAAATCAGGAAGTGCAGACGTGGCGTGGAAGTTGAGCAGCAGTGGGATCCAAACAACACAAATGCACTTAAACAGTTTGTATCTGTGCAGAAACCTAAGCAAACAAGTCATGTGACCTTGACTACTGTAAGAAGTTAAAGCTGTTTTCTGATTGTTTTTGATGCAAAGAACTGAACAGAAACCATAATCGGATATTGATCAAGAATCAGCTTTGGTCATCTTCTGCACTGCATCGTTGCAGTGAAGATTAACTCTTTCTTTTCCTTTTACTTTAAAACACTATAGATGTAGTTGGATGTAAAAACTTAACTTGCCCCAAAAAGCTTAAAAATTCAATTTAACTTTGTTTATACAGCACCAAATCACAACAACAGTCACCTTAAAGGGCATTGTATTGTAAAGCAGACCCTACAATAACACATACATGAGATATAACAGGAGTCATAAAGGTTTTCAGGCTTGAAGCAGATCTCACATCTTCATGAGGTTCGTTCCAGGAGTTTCCAACGAGGCAAAGATTTAAACAATAGTAGGAAACTCAGCAAAGTGCCATTTCCTGTGATTGACTGCATACCTGACACCAAATGACACATCAACCACGTTAAAGAGGAACGCTGGGGGATGATCTGTGATTCGAGGTGAGGAGGACCTTAAACTGACAGTGTGTGTGGAGGGGAAAGGAACGCCATTGTTTGGTTTGGGCCGCAGGGTCAAACAAGTCAGTGCTTTGTACAGCTCATGCATGTGTGCGCTACTAAGAAAATTGAAGCCTGGATGAAGTTGCAGGTTTTCTATTTACATGTCTTATTATTTCTATTAATCCTTCTTTGACGGTGGATCTTATTTAGCTCATCTTCTGTTTGTAACAATGTTACAAAATTTCAAACCTACTGTGTGCGGAGGATGTACTGTAGCTGTACTGTCAGGCACAAACTAACTGGAAGTCAAGTATAAGCTGCAGTGTGTGAGGATGCAAATAATGTAAATATATATGTGTCTTTATGAGCTATGTTTAATAAAAACCTTTTTTTACCAGTTTTCACTTTAACAAAAACAGTCTGTACACAATACTGATTATTTCCTCTATACGATGCAATCACTGGGTCCAAAAGGACACGTGGATGTAGATCACTTTGTATTTTCTTCATAGAAACAAGGTAATGATGATTCTACTTTTTTGTCTTTGATGATTATTTCTGAAACGTGCAAATGTCTCCATCTTCCACTGCTGCTCACGCAAAGCTATCCATAAGCTTTTGTTGTGATTGTACTTAAAAAGACACAAACAGAGTAATCACTGAGTTTATTGGTAAAGGTAATAATTCAAAATTTGTGTTGCTAAAAAAAAACGCATCACTTGAGGGCAGCAAATCAGTGCAGTCTGACCGATGACAGCAGTTTGCTAGTTTCTTTGTAGAATAACCAGGATGCCTTGTTAAAAATGCAAGAGAATAACGTACATGGTCTCATTAATACAGGAACATAATTCTTCTTGTAGCTTCTGATTAAGCTTTTATTTAATGGAAAACAGCAGCCGGTTACATGTGGAAACCACTTCATTTAGTTATGAGGAATCATGATCCGGCCATCAATAAATAAACATAAATCCACAAACTTTTTTGAGAGAAGATTTTCACCCAATGACTGAAGTCAGGGTGCCTTCGATATTTTACTAATACAGCACATCTGAAGCACGGTGCTGTACAGTGTAAACTCTCCGTAGTGTATAACGTAGTGGCCATAGACACAATAAATGAACCAGATAAGAAAAGCACACGAAGACTATGAAAACTACTCACCCAATTAACCACAAATGTGTCACATAAGGTAACTATGTAAAAGAAATGTGAAAACTATGGCGCATGAATACATAGTTCCAAAAGAAGGATTTTTCTTTGCGAGCAGGCCAAGAAACATCACCTGAGGCTCCAGATTATGTTTTACTCCTTAAAGCAGATTTACTGAGACCATGATCTGTTCCCAGGTGCTTTTACAATATCAGTCTTTCCTTTAAACATCAACATGACAATGAATTTAGTATAAAGGTAACACAAAAAGTGAATCTGGGCCTGTTTACTCGTATTACAGTAACGATCCACTGTGTTATAATCACTTAAAAAGGGGGATTCAGTGTGTACTTTTCAACATTATTTATTTCAGAATTTATTTTGTACTTTTAGAGAAGCAGAAACCAGGTGATGTGCAGATTCTCAGGCTAAACATTCATCACACGGGAGGATCATCACACCAGCTGCACAAACAGTCCAGTTAATAAGTGGCCTCCTGCTAAGAAATGTACAAAAAATAAGTAAGAATCAAAGAGCTCTGTGTGATCACGCTGTGAGCAGCAACTGCAGCTGAGCAAACATCTGTATATCTGGTCATTTAACACAGTGTAACTAGAAGCAACTAAAGCTGAACACTCGACTGTATTCATATCTGCAAATTTGGTTACAAGAATATCGGCTATTTAAATGCTTAAAATCAACAAAATATCAGTACAGAGATTTTTTTGAGTTGCATCTACATTTTATATTTTTGCTGCAGACGTACACAGGAGGATAGTGTCAGTTAGTTTGAGATAACGCTGCTATGCCCCGTTTGATAAATGCATCCCTCGGCTTTCCCATCACCTTTCCTGCCCACCGAGTGGCTCAGTCTCAACCGAATCTTAGCTCCAAAAAGTTATAAATTAGAGTCAGACTGATATATTGGCTATTGTATTTAATGATATCGGTATCAGCATTTACAATGTCAGATGAATGAACGTTTTTAAAGTAGAAAGAGGAGAAATGCCTTTCAATCATAGGCAGTGTTGACGTTGTAAAGTTTGTCCACCAGAGGAAATGCTGCATCTTGCTTGTTGGCAACAGCTTTGAAAGCCCAAACGTAGCCCCAGCTGATCCGAGCAAGCGATTGTTGTGACAATACAACAAGAGGTTTTAAAAAAAACACTAAACACTAAAGACACTAAAGCTCTATCACATGGTGTCAAATTGTAAATGTGGTTTACTGCACTCAAAAACAGACAGAGGCAGCATGTTTTTATCCACTCAGTAATTTATTTGTGAATAAAAAACATCTCATTTCCTTGTTACAGCACTCAGACATGTTCATAGTCATTTTTCAGCAATGATGTCAATCACAAAATTCTGCCTTCAAATACTAAAACGACACAACGGCAGCGCAGATACTCCTGATTTTACAACACAAGTGAAAATGCACTTAACACTGA